GGTAAAGAAAGCACATGGACGGTCAAGAAAAGGCCACCTGCATGGCTCAGTGGATGAAGAAGACCACCACCTGTTTTGTAACATGAAAAATACAAATTAAAATTATCTACATACTATTTTTTTACCTATCAGATTTTCAGACATCCAAAAATATGCTAACACATTCTACAAGCAAGAGTGCAGGGAAACAGGCACTCTCATAAACTGCAGATGGGAGCATAAACTGGCATTACCTGAGCAGAGGGTGATTTAGCAATATCTACCAAAATCACAAATATACCTACTCTTCCTCCCTCCAATTCCATTTCTAGGAATTTATCCTACAGATATACTTGCACACGTGCAAAATGACAAACTGCATCACGATTTGTATAGCAAAAGACTGAAAACAACATAAAACTCCCTCATCAGAAGAACTGACTTTTGGACAATGGAATACTAGGCAGTTATTCGTGCACTGGGGTGGGAGCAACGGGGGTGTTCCTCAGCCCGGCCTGCACCCTCTCGCAGTCCGGGAGCCCTTGGGGGATGTCTGACTAACGGCTTAGACCTGCTCCCCAGGGGTGGCGGAGATTGGGGGTGTGGGGGGGCAGCAGGTCTAAGCCAGAGGTCAGACATCCTTAGCGCTGCCCGGGAGGCAGGAGAGGCTCCCACCACCGCTGTTGCACTCTCCAGCCGTGAGCCTGGCTTCTGGCTGAGCAGCGTTCCCCCTGTGGGAGCGCATTGACCACCAGGGGGCAGCTCCTGTGTTGAGCGACTGCCCCCTGGTGGTCAGTGCACATCATAACAACCGGTCGTATGGAAGCAGAGTGGCGCAGCGGAAGCGTGCTGGGCCCATAGCGACCGGTCGTTTGGTCGATTTACATATTAGCCTTTCATTATATAGGATATGAAAAGCTCAAGATATAATGTAAAGTTAAGAAAGCAAAGTGCAGAAAGAAGCATGTATAACATGCTATCCTTCAGGTTAAACAGAAGGTAGAAAAACATACATTTGCATTTGCTTGTATACACATACAATATTCTTGAAAAGACATACAAGAAACTGCAGTTGCCTATGGGGAGGAGTGGTGGGTAGCTGGAAGCAGAGCTCAGAAACTTTTCACTGTATGTCCTTTTCTATTTTTAAAAAATTTGAATGATGAATATATTTCAAATTATAAGATTTCAGATTACCATAGAAGAAACAAAGTAAACAAAATAAAGCAAGAAAATAACTGTAAATAAATTTGGCAACAAGATTTGGGCCAGAGATAAACAGGCAAACTCGGTATTTAAGAAGAGAAGAGGTGGATTGCAGTCAATTCCCAGCAGAACGAAAGAACAGATTACTGAACATGCAGCTTATAAGTACTTAGAAAGAAAGAAATGATTGCTACTGAGGTTTCACTAAGAACAGGACATTACAATATCTTGTAAATGAGACAGAAAAATGTGGACTTCAGATGTGAACACCCAGGCCACACTACTACATGAACCAAAATCAACACAGAAGTCCACAGTAACCTACCACAAGGCTTGATACAATGTCCTGATTCACCATTTTGTTAGTGATGCAGAGGAAGAGAGAAAGCATGTTCGTTAAGTTATTCGACAACATAAGATTGAGAAAGAAAAACTGACTAAAAGTTCAAACAGATGTTGAGAGGCAAGAACTAGGAACTATACACTATTAAGAGAAAATTTAATAGAAACAAATACAAACCTGCTTTCGTTTTCAAAAGATTCAAATTGCACAAGTAATTACAGGATGGCAGAGTCCTGGTTTATTAACAATTTCCAAAGAATTTTAAGTTACTACAAATTCAGTAGTGGCTTCTGAAAAAAGCTGCTGAAATCTTAGGCTAAACAAACACTGTCTAAAGCACCACTGTACTATGCACTGGACAGTTCTCACTTGGAGTTTTTCACTCTGTTCTGGCCCTCGCAAAACAAAAAGGGAGGATGAGCAGAAATGACAAGAATTTGGAAACCATACCAGTAAAAGGAAAAGTAAGGCCTAAAGAGAAAGATTTAAAGGGAAATGGCAGTATATCTTCAAATAGCTGGAGGACTGTCACTTAGAAGAGGCATTGTTAGACTTCTTGTATGGCGATTCAGAGGTAGAACTAGGACCAATAGGAGGAAGTGACAACTTGGTACAAGAGAGAAGATTTTAACAAGAATTTAGCAGTAATGGATTAGGCCATTTAATCACAGTGTGACCTATCATCAGAAGTATTCAAGTAAATGAATGGGATAAGATACTCGACAGTGATACATTCAATAAGGGGTTTATGTTCAACATTTATAAAGAACTCATATAACTCAACACCCAAAATAACCAACAATCCAATTAAAAAACTGGGCAGAGGACCTGAATCAACACTTCTCCAAAGAGGACATACAGGTGACATATGAAAAGATATTCAACGTCACTAATCATCAGAAAAATGCAAATTGAAACCATAATGAGATATCACCTCACACCTGTTATAACAGCGATCATCAATAAATCAACAAATAACAACTGTTGGCCAGGATGTGGAGAAAAGGAAACCCTTGCACACTGTCGGTACAAATGCAGATTGGTAGGGCCACTATGGAAAATAGTATGGAGATTCCTCAAAAAATTAAAAATGGACCTGCCTTATGACCCAATGATTCCACTTCTGGGTATATATCCTAAGAATGAATCCCCAAATACCAACCAGAAAGAATATATGCACCCCCTATATTCAGAGCTAAGATCTGGAAGCAACCCAAGTGTCCATCAATAGATGAGTGGATAAAGCAGCTGTGTGTGTGTGCATGTATGTGTGTGTGTGCGCGTGTATGTGTGTGTGTGTGTGTGTGTATATATATACACACACACACACAAACATATACATACACACAAAGAATACATACACCCATGCATGTATGGCCTCGCTCAAGGCAACAAAATTTCAATTATAGAAGATAAATAAATCCCAGATACCTGCTTCCAGCCAGTCTCCACTGGGAGCTTGGGTGGCTGGGGGCTGTGGTCAGCCTGCAAACAGCCATCAGCTCCTCACCCAGGATGTCCACACCCTCATGAGGTGAGGGTCCCCGCTGGGGTCTTGGCCAGCCTGCAAACAGCCATCAGCTACTCACCCAGGCTGGCAGGTACCCCAGCG